CTTCAACTTAGGGCTTGGTCTCCGATAAAGATAAAACCAGACCCCCTGTAGAGAAATCCCTCACTGAAGTGACTCTCCTCTGCCCATCATCCATTCAACAAATATTTAATGAGTGAATGTTAGCTGTTGAAAAAAACAGATGGAAGACACAAAAATAAATCATTTTCATGGCAAAGGAACGCACAACTTAGTAGGCACAGAGGAATGCAGTTCCACTCAGCAAGCATCTAGTGAATGAAAGCCTACGAACTGCCGAGCTATGCCAGGAACACCAAGGTTTGCATGGGCTCAGCCCTGAATCATGAGCACACGGTTGCATCAGGGAGATAACACAAAGCCAAGTGCCAGAAGTGTGAGCACACCAGAGGGAGCTTGACAGACAGGCCAGGTTCCACTCCTGGCTCTGCCACTGATCTAGCTGAGTAATCTGGGCATGCTCCTGAAATTTTCACAGCTTCTTTTGGCCTCCCTGATGACGCAGGGATTAAAGTCTCAGCACCGTCATGCGATCGCCAGCCACTGGGGCATAAGTTCAATGCCCAACCAGGAGCTAACCCTGTGTGGCACAGCAGACCTCTCATGTCTTGCCCACTGCTCCCCTCAGCAGTGTATTTCAGTAGATCCACCTATTCTGCCCCCCCTCTGTCTCTGGTGACTCCTCTCACCCCGTCCCCACCCCGCCCCTCTGGCCTACACCCCATTTCTTGTATGCATAAATAAATAAATCTTAAAAAAAAATTTTTTTTCATAGCTCCCATTGTAAAACTGGGTAGCATCTCCTCCATAGGATTACTGGGAAGACAATCAACATAGTTTTACAGGACCCAGAATCTGGCCCACATCAGACATTCACTCACTAAACGCTTCCTGCTGTCAATAGGCAGGTAGACTTAGATATCTGCCCAACTCTAATGATGATCTGGGCCACAGGTACAAAGAATGAGACTAACTCTACTTTTGATATGGAAACCAAAAATTGCCACTGGCAGGATTCTTCCCTTTCTGGAGGTAAGGATTTGTGAGAGTGCTGTGGAAACACAGAGGGAAAGAATGGGCAAATGTTTAGCGCATTGTGTACTCTAAAACAGGTAGGCAGTTGAAAAGGTGGGTCTGAGCAGGAATAAGCCAGAAACTAAAATAAAGAACAAGGCAAAGAAGGGAAATTTTAGGAACTATGGATGCAACAGTATCCCTAAGGCTCCAGCAGACGAGGGATCAGAGCAGGAAATAACCAGAAAAGCAAGCTGGGACCAGACCCTGGAGGACACAGAATACCCAGCTAAGGAAAATGCCTTTACGTGGATACAGATCCGGGGGACATGCCATCTGGTAGGTGACCCTCGCAGCTGAGGGGATGCAGCAGTGGGAGGCCAGGTAGAGACTGCTGAAATGGCTTAGGCCAGAGGTAACATGTTCCTGAAAGAGGGCAAAAAGTACAGAAGTGTTCGGCACAAACGTGGGAAACAGTGAGCCCTGGCAAGTGGGTGGGCAGGGCAGCTGAGAGAAACGTGAAGCCTGGACCACAGGCTGAGAGTGACACTACTGTAGAAGAAGAGACATTGAAAAAATGAGGTTTGTGTTGTCACCTGGCAAAAGCAGGAAAAGGCAGCATAGGGTCTCACTATGGACTCACAACTAGTAAAAATTCTACTAGATGATCAGCACTAGATAAATTCATTTGCTGACCCCAACCATACATGCCTCTTTCAAATCTTGCTAGTACTTATCTTACCCTCTAAGGTAAGCACAGAGCAGGTTCAGTGTCTCATCTTCCAAGCAGCCCTCCAGTTCTCCTCAGGTGTCCACCTCAACCAGGCCAAAAGCAGATCTTACTTACTAATCCCCCCAAGAGAACTCAGGTAATACCCAGAAGGGATTATCTCAAAGGAGAGACTCAAAGGAAATTCAGTTTCCTGTCAGCCTTGGTAGAACAGTAAGATGTTATTATCGCTCATTTCCTGATGTCTATTTAGTGTCTGGTTTCTGGTAACTTTAGAAGGCGGGCTGGAAGGGAGACCTGCCTTTGTCTTAGTGACTATTCCAAGCCTAAGCAGCCTGCCCACCATGTGATCAATGTTGGGCTCTACACGCATGAGCACTGGGTGTCAACCACACACTGCTTCCTGTTTGTCATCTCTCCTACTACTTTCTCCTTGAAGAAATTATTTTAAGCTCCCTATTGCCAGTTTTAGTCTTAACTCTCAATACTACCATCTCAAACTTATACTAGAGACTTAACTTTGTCTAGTACTTAGAATTCCAATAAGCACTTTTTCATTCATTTGGCTTTTCCTCTCAAAAACTCTCCTCAGAGTTTCCAAACACTGGTATCCTGGAGTCAATGATTTACCCACATGGAAAGTTGCCGTCAAGGATACTTGCAATTACACCTTTAAGAATTAAAATGTTATGAAAGCCAGATGACTGTGCAATAATAGGTACTCTATTCACAGTTCTTCAAATTCAGTAGCCCCCTGGTTCCAACTTCACACTTAGACACAGGGAGCCTATTTTTCTACTCAGGCATGAAGGGTTACTCGTCTGTTGAGTTACCATTTGCTATTTTCTAACTACACTCTTTGGGGTATTAAAGAGTAGTTCTTTGTTTTCCCCAACTCTACTTAGCAAATGATCTTGAGCAAACTAGCTTATACACTGAAGGATCTTAAACCTGATAAGAATTACCTGAGGGGGCTTTATATATTTTTCACTTTGTTTTTTTAAGGGAGATTTAAAATTAAAAAAGGCAGATACTAGCCCCTTCCAGAGGGCCTACTTAACAAGAACTCAGCAAAAGCCGCCGGGGCATGCATGCTTAACAAGCATTCCAGGGGATTCTGTGTAGGTGGCCTGCAGACAGCACGGTTTTTGAAACACATTTCTTTAAGCCTTCACCTAGCAGGCAGTCACCTAAACTCATCAGTTCCTTCCAGTAGGATTCTCACTCCCTTGTCTTCTAAAGGGCACTGAAAGCAAAGGTAGGATTTACTATTGTTGCTGTTTATTGAGGGGAAAGGCAGACAAAGAAGAAACAAAATTGAGAAGGGTAAAGCAGGCATGTTAGAGTTCCCTTTCCATTATTTACATTGCAATTAAAGTACAAAATCGTAACTTTTTTCTTTAAAGATGTGTACAACAGATATGGAATTCAATTTTCCACTAAATAAGTCACTTTCTCCACTAGAGCCCTAAAGCTTTTCAGACTCCACCATTTAGCCCAAAGTAGACAACTAGGTGCAAATTCACAAATTCAAACCAGTCATCTTTACCTTGTCTCTGTTTTCCCATTTCTTAGTACTCCTTAAAAACCAAAAATAAATCAAATGACACAAACGCATACTAGTTAAGATTACTTAAATGAAATTTTAAGTAAAATGTTAAGATTAAAAAGTCTTCTGGGGATTGAAAACTTGCTAAATGATTTTATGTATGACCAGGTGGCATGTACCCATTGATGGCACTGCACCTGTCTGAAATTAACTGCGATGACCTGAAAATGAAAACACAATATCATACCAATAAAGTGGGTCTAAAACTTATAAAAAGAGATTCTTTTTACTACTATTGATGTTAAAACCAGGACCATCACTAGGATTTACATAAAGATCAAACGTCTAATTGTAACTTTTATTTATTTATTTATTTTTAAAGACTCATCCATTCATGCATAGGAGAGCAGGGACACAGGCCAGAGATTCGGGGGGTGAGAGGATCCACCAGAGACAGAGTGGGGAACAGAACAGGCAGACTGACGAAACACACTGTTGAGGGGAGCAGTGGGTGAGACAGGAGAGGTCTGCCTCACCATGTGGGTTGCTCCCTGGCGCAGACCAGGGGACCAAACTCATACTGCAGAGGCTTTGCTTCATAGTGAGTTGCTTAACCCCTTGGGCCACCAGGGAGGCCCTATGTAACTTTTTAAATGTAAATGTATGACAGATAGAGAAAGCAGATCAGACAAGAAGGAATAGTAATAGAATTGTCTCTTTTTACTTGCAAACTAAAGTTCTGAGTAAGATTCCATTCTAAATCAAGTGAAAAGCTTGTTTCATCTCCCGGAATTATTTTCTGTCAATTAGCCATCTGTCCTTGAAGTCTAGCTCCATCTCATCTACCCTCTTCTTCAAAGAGTTTAGATCCTTTTAGAAGGTAGTAAATGAACATGCAAATTGTCAATATCCTTCCTAAAAGGGCACATGCCTAAATATATTTTCACTTTGAACTGAGGCCTCAGGGTTTACCTCTATGAAGGCAATATTAAGTATGACTTCCATTTCTTAAAAATTACAGATACAAACCGACAAAGGACAAAAAAATAGATAAATAAATAATCCAAAGCAGATGTATCAGGGTGATGGGATTCTGAGAGGCTTCCAGCAGGATAACCACCGCACCTCCCTGCGCGCATCCCCTTCACTTGCACCTGCCTCCCGGCGTCCTGCCCACACCCAGGCCCATGGCCCAAGGGCATCCCCAACGAGCTAAGGGGGGACGGCCACCATTCGCCCCACCAGCAAAGACCTTCCTCTCTCTCTTCCCTCCACCCAACTGTTAACTCAGGGCGGGAAATAAAACACCTGATGGGGAGTAAACTCGCTGCAGGCCTCCAGGTTGCTCTCCCAGAGCCTAGGCTCCCTGACTTTCCCTGCTGGAGCACTAAAGAGGAAAACCCCCTTTTCTCAGAGCTTCCCTAGACGACGCATTTGCAGCAGTGGACACGGCTAAGAAAATAATAATAATAAAACCGTGAAGTTAGACTGGGAGGAAGAGAGGCAAAGGGAAACAGGCGGAAAAGGACACGACTGAAAACCATCATCCCTTCCACGCGGCCCAGTCCTGAAGTCGCCCAGGATCTCACCAGCTTCCCCGCACACGCGCGCGCCGGCGGGGTCCCCCCGGGCTGGCGGGCTCCGGGGCGCGCTCCCCGCCAACTGCTGGCCGCGCGGGCGGCGACCCCCGGGGCCGGCGGGGGAGCACCGCGCGCGCCTCCTCCCACCTACCTTCAGGGTCGGACCATGGCCGCCTAGCTTTCTCCGATGCACAAACACCACCGGCAGCTCGGTCTCCGCGGTCAGCTCCGCGAGGGCTCCCTCGAGGCGGCGCCCGTCCTCTGCGGCACAAAAGCACCCGGCGCGGGAGTCAGCGGCGGCGGGAAGGGCGCGCCGGGGCGGGGCCTCGCGTGCCCCCGGCGCTCCCGGCGGCGCCCCGCCTCCCGCCCGCGCCCCCCGGCCGCGCGCGCCCGCCCTGCCGCCCGCCCCGCGCCGCCCCGGCCACCCCGCGGCGCCCCGGCCTCCCCGGCCATCCCCGGCCACCGCGCGCCACCCCGGCCTCCCCGCGCCGCCCGAGCCGCCCCGGCCACCGCGCGCCACCCCGGCCACCCCGCGCTAGCCCGGCCACCCCCGGCCACCCCGCGCCAGCCCGGCCACCCCGCGCCGCCCCAGCCACCCCGGCCACCCCGCGCCGCCCCGGCCACCGCGCGCCACCCCCGGCCACCCCGGCCACCCCGGCCACCCCCGGCCACCCCGCGCCGCCCCGCGCCGCCCCGGCCACCCCGGCCACCCCGCGCCGCCCCGGCCACCCCCGGCCACCCCGGCCACCCCCGGCCACCCCCCGCCGCCCCGGCCACCCCCGGCCACCGCGCACCACCCCGGCCACCCCGCGCCGCGCGGCCGGCGACCGGGGTCCGCGCACGGCAGCGGCGAGCCCGGCGACCAGGACCAACCTCCTCGCCCAGCAAGTCCGGGATTCAGAAACGCTGCCAGGAGGAGGCTCGGGGCACGATTAGCTCCACTTTATAGGGCACCTCCCGGCTGGCCCTTCCTTTGAACCCTGCGACCGCAGAGCGCGAGAGCCCAGCTTCCACTTGCTTTGAAATGTGCAGCCATGGGCCAAGCCCAAGGCCACCCTGCCCACTTGGGGCGCTTTCACTTACGTGCCCTGAAGCGCTACGGTAGCACCCCACGTGACACCCCGCGAGCTCAGGGCCCCGTTTCACACACGGGTGAGCTCGGTCGGCCCTGCGTCGGCCAGGGAGTTGGAGGGGCTCCAGGGGCGCCGACGTCAGACCCGGCCTTGGGGCAAAACCACACCCGCACCCCAGAGCTGCTCGGCACCCCCCGCGAGAGCGCACCCGATGCAGGCGCCGTGCGCTGCAGAGTCACACGGGCTCTCCACGAGCGCCCTGGCGAAGGGGCTCCAGCAGGTCCATTTCGCGGGTCGGGAAACTGAGGCACAGCAAAAGGGGCGGAGGGACCGGCGCCCCCTTTCGACCCCTACCCTCTCTGCTGCCGACCCCAGTGAGGCAAGCCCGGGGCTCCACGCTCGCCCGCGGGGTTGAAGCGCCCGGGGGCAGGTGGCACGTTTCTGCGCCTCGGCTTCCCCCCAGCTGGTCAGCGCCGGGCATACCTGTGACCTGCCCGCCCCCCCAGGATTTGGGAGGGTTGGCATCTCCCTGACATGCTTACTACACCCACAGCAAGCTCCCGAGCATGTGTCCATCTATGCATCACATCGTTGCCCACATTTCAAGAGATGATCCAAAACCCACTTTCTCAGGCATCCTGCAAACTCTGCAAAGAGCAGCCAGCGGAAGGAAGCACCAGCTGACTGGAGGCTGGTCTCACCCTCCATCCGCTACGCTGTCACTCCCACAGGCGAGGCGAGGAACCCGGCCAAGAAACTCCTAGGCTCGCGCGCCCCAGAAAAGCGCCAGCTCCCCGAGCGCCCCGCGCAGCCCGGGCGAGCGCCTCTCCCCCCGCGCGTCCCCAGCGCCCCGCGCGGGAGGCGCGGGCCGGGCCGCGCGCAGGCACCCCCCGCTTACCCCGCGGCGAGCTCCCCGGCCCTCTCGGCCCTCCGGACGGCTCCCCCTTCCGCTCCGAGGCCCCGCGCGACTGCAGCCGAGAGACGGGCAAGGGTCGCGGGTGCTCAGTGGCTGCGAGAAGCCCCGCCCGCCGCGGAGCCGGGCAGACCGCCGGAGTCAGAATGACAAAGCAAAAATCCACTCCTCGTGCGGCCCTGGCCACCTACGCCGAAGGGCTGAGCACAGTGGGAGCTCCTAATTGGTGACTGCACCGCCTCTCCTGCTCACAGCGCCCCCAACTCAAAAAAGTAGCAAAAACAAGTGCGGGGGGGGTGGGGGGGGCCTCCCCGGTGGCGCAAGGGGTCAAGAGGCAACCTGGCCAGAGAGCTACCCACATGGCGCAGCAGACCTCTCCTGACTCGCCCGCTGCTCCCCTCAGCAGTGGATTTCAATCTGCCTGTTTTGTACCCCACTCTGTCTCTGGTGGATCCTCTCACCCCCGGCACCTCTGGCCTGTACCCCAGCTCTTGTATAAATAAATAAATATTTTTTTTAGAAAAGTGCAGGAATGTTTGGAACCACCACCTAGAAAAAAGTGCGTTTGAACTGGAGGGCACTGGACTGTGCCCCAGGGCAGTGACTCCAGCTCCCTGCTGGCCTTTGTCATCAGGAGAGGATTTTCAAAAATACTGACGTTTGGCTCCCACCCAGACAGTCTGAAGTAATCGGTATGGGTGTGGCCTGGGGTTTCCAGTGAACTACAGAATTTGCGGCCCCTGGCCCTAAAGTAATGGATTAGTCAGTCTGGCAATTCCTGCAGGAAGTTTCAGGTTTTCCAAAGAAGCACCTAATCCACCCTGACTAACCCTGTAAAGAAGTGACAACTTCTCACCAGCACCTAATTTTCCCCACGGTACTTCCTCTTTGTCTCCCTCTGCTTTGGGTTGGTCATGTTTGTTTTAAGGAAAACTGAGAGTATATTTAACTCCGGCCAGGCCCAGCCACCTGCAGCTACCGGGGTGAGCCAGGCTCTCCCAGGCTCCCCTCTCTACTGACACTTACTCAGCACCTGGCACTCGTAGGTGGCCAAAGGTATTTGCTGAGTAAACACACATCTTGTCCCCTTCTTTGTCTGGATATTGCAGGACTGAAGCACTCTAGGAGGAAAGGGCTGCTAGTGTTTGGGGTTGGTGAGAAGTCCTACCTTCTCTCCTCGCACTGCAGGAAACCACAGTCCCTCCTTTCGAACCCCAGGGCAAGTTAGGGATAATTAGGCCGCCTCAAGGACAGTGCAGGGACTTCAGGAGAGTTAAGGAAGGATCCAGAGATAAGGGCAACTACTTCCAAAAGGAACTAATCAAATACCCCAGGACTAAGGTCAACAGGGCATTCCAAATTGAGGACAATAAAGAAATAAGATAAGGTGTAGGGCACAGAGACTTAGTTCTGGGCACAGGGAATTTAGGCAGTGAGCGAGACCACCCAGAACTAACCAATCACAAAGAGACTGGTGGAGCTTTAGAATAACAAGGGAAAGAAGGTCTATATTCTCTGAGGCATGAATCAACTTTGGCTTCCTTGCTGCTCCCTGGCCTGGTTTCCTGGCCTGGGAGTCCCATTTTATTTCTGTTCCTTTTCTCCTCAATAAACTTTTTCTTCTCTAAACAAACCCTCTTCTTCTCTCTTGCTTGTCTGTGAGTTCCTGCTGCAGCTTCCAGAGACACCAACCCCTGGTGGTCTAGTGGCTGGGACTCAGCGCTGCCCCTGCAGCCTGGAATCCGTTCCTGGCCGGGAGTCTAGGCCTGAAAACCTACACAATTCCAGTATCACTTTGAGCCCCTTCCCAGGCCCCAGTGAGAGGCTCCAGGTAGTCTGAATGCACGTAGACACTCGCACACACACTGCACTCGATAAACTGACAGTCTCTGTGGTGGTTATTTACATGAAGGTGTATCTTGTCTGATTTGGGGGGGTCTTTAGAACAGAGGGTGGATCTAGCACACAGGTGGTCAAAAAACAATGTGGTTTAAGGAGCAAAGAGTAAAAAATGTGGGGGAAAGAAAACGGGGGCTAAGGGAGAAAACTTCCCATTTACTCCAGGCTGCTGGGCCCAACTGTATTAACCATCTGATACGCCTGATGTCACTTAATCGATATAATAACGACTATGAACCAAGGTTATAAACACCTCATTCATAAAAATACAGACAAACGAGTTTCTTTCCAAAGTATGTTTTAAGATAAAAAGGGACTGTGAAATAATGTGAAATAATGTACTAAAGACAAATGATAAGGACTGATTTCTTAGGAGCTTTGTATGACAGGTCAGAGTTAGTTAACATAGTTAATATTTTCTAAAGAGTCTCAGAAAAGGACTTGCTTGCTGTTCTTAAGTGAGCAAAATATAGCACAAATCTCTCCAGTAGCTCCATGCAATTATTTTTTTGAGTTAAAAAAAAATTGGGGGCCTCCCTGGTGGCACAAGGGGTTAAGACAACCTAGGAAGCTGTCTGCAGCCACTGCAGCACTGAATCCTCTCACCCCCCATACCTCTGGCCTGTACCCCAGTATACATAAATAAATAAATCTTTTTAAAAAAATCATTTCCTTTCAAACCTTTCTTGCTTCTTTTAAGGGCCTAGATATCTCACCCTCCTCACAAAACAGAGAACTCCTTACTTCTATTTAGCTGGTCATCAATGGAAGAAGAGCCTCATTTTCATCATTTCTCATCACTCAGTATTTGTTCTAGTCATACATCTCACATTTCTTGATGGGGCTTATGTTATTCTGCCTGCCTAAAATTATTCTCCCTAAGAGCCTACTCCTTCAAAGCTAATCTGAAATGTCACCTCCTCTAGGAGGGCTTCCCTGATCCCCACCCAGTGTTTATCACCCATTCCTTCCCTATTCTGTGTTCCCAGATACCTAAAAATAATTAAAAATTATCTAAATCCAAGAGCATTGGGGAAGTAAACCCTTGTTTGATTTATCTTGTCTCCCCAGAACCTATTACAGACAGTAACTCAGAAAATGCTGGGAAAACTTCTCTATGTTCCTGAGCTGTCATCTAAGTACACTGCAGTTTACCATTGAACAAGACAGTGTGGGTCCACAGATAAGCTGATTTTTTTCTTCCAACCCTTGGAGATTTTTTTTTTTTTTTTTTTTGGCCTTTTCATATTCACAGGTTCATCCAGCCATACGTGATCGATCACTGGTTGAGTCCAAGGGCACACAACTCTCACTTATGGAGAGCTGACTATAAAAGACTTGAGCATAGACAGATTTTAGTATGAGGAATGGGGGTA